TTTTTTTTTTGGTTTTTCTCCGGTACCGGGAACCGAACTCACGACCTTGCGCTTGCCAGGCAGGCGCTTTTGCCGCTGAGCTAAATCCCCAGCCCCGAGAATTTATTCTTAAAGAAAAGATTCTCAAATGTTTTGGTCTCAGGACCACGTTAACACTCTTACAATCATTATTGACCTAAAGAATTTGGGCTTACATGTTTCTTCCTATTGGTATTTAGTGTATTAAGAATTAAAGCTAAAATACTTACATCAATCCATTTAAAACTAATATTAAACTTACTACATGTTATCATAAATAGCATTTATGAGAAATAGCAATATTTTCCAAAGAAAAACAACTTAGTGGGAAGAGTGGCATTGTTTTACATTTTGTAAATCTCTTTGACGTCTGCATAATAGACTGCTGTCTCCTATTGGTTTTTAATTCAATCTGTTGCAGTATGTTTTTACGGTTAATATATAAAGAAAGCCAGGTTTCACAGAGATAGATAGTTGGAAAAAGCAAAGACCTCTTGAACCCTGGAATGGACCTTGGAGATTTCCAGGGGTCCTCAAACCACACTTTGGGAACCATGGTCATAAAGATACCTTTGGTTTGTGTATCTGCTGTACCACCCAGCACAGCAATGAGGCACAGGTGTAGTAAATGTACAAGAAATGATGGAGATGAATTGATTTTTCAAATCCCTTTCAGGATTTCCAGAAGGGGGAAGCCCAACTGTGGATGGACCATCCCCTAGTTTTTCATCTAACTCCACTTTTTCAGAACAGGTATGGTAGGAACTCTTTTTCTTTTCTTTTCTTGGAATCAAGGTCTTTAAATTCGTTTTTGGGCTGGGGATTTAGCTCAGCGGCATAGTGCTTGCCTGGCAAACGCAAGGTCGTGAGTTTGATTCCCAGTACTGGGAAACAAACAAACAAACAAACAAAAATTGGTTTTTATAGTGCCTTCACTTGGCCAGTGCTATTACAGATTTGTACGTGAATGTTAGAACATATTTGGTTTACAAAGATTCCTTATACACTTAAAGTGATTTGATTTACACATAATGTCTCAGGTACATAAGTATTATGAAAATAGTTTAGAATAATAAAGCTAAGCTCATGCTAGCCTGTGTTACTAGTGGTCCCTGTTATTCCAACTGATTGCTAGTAGTAGCTAGTCATCAGATAGTGTGAACTGTGGATCTCACTAAATTGTTATCAGTAAACTAAAGGAAAGGGTAGGTCTTCTGAGTGCAGGGAGTTTGGATGAAGGCTAAAAATAGACCCTGCAGTTTAAGTTGGTTTATGTACTGTCATTTTCTGAGAGATATAAAATACCTATGTTTTTTACAGTGACTTAAGACCTTGCTCCATTTATTCTAATTTGTGTCTCAGATGCCCTGAATAGCCAGTAATGTTTCTTAAAAATAGCAAGGAAATATGTTGTTTTTGTTGCTTTTTCTCGCACATAGATTTTATTTAAACTTCGTAAGGGGGCTGGGGATTTAGCTCAGCAGCACAGCGCCTGCCTGGCAAGCGCAAGGTCGTGAGTTCGATTCCTGGTACTGGAACAAAAACAAACAGAAAAAAACATAAACTTAGTAATTTCCTCAGAATAGATCTGTTGAAAGGCTTGTGATATTGAAACACATAGAAGACATCACAGTTTAAGGAGAAAGGACTCGGCCTGCACTTGAAGTCTCTCTCCGAGTTTATAGGGTTAGGGTCAGAGTTTTTGCATGAAAATGTAAAATAAAAATCATAGCATGTGTCCTTCTTGCTTTCAAAGAAAGTGTGGTTCATTATTTGCAAGAATCAAATAAGATAATATTCATGAAACACTTTAGAGACTACAAAGCACTTTGAAAAAGCAACAAGAATAAGAATACAATGGAAAGAGAGACTATAATTTATCTGGGAGGAAGAATAAGTGCTTTGGGAAACTAGCGGGATTTAGCTATGTTCAAGTTCTAAATTTAGCAGCTAAGCCCAAATAGGAAAGAGCCAGTGACTAGTTGTCCCTCTTACCCCAGCTGACTGCTACCAGTGGCCAAAGGAAGCACAAAACTCATTTTCATATTATTAGTGCAAACATACGTTATTGGTTCCTGTCTTTATCATGCAAATTGAGTCTTTGTTCCCAGTGCACAGAAATGGAAGAGTTCTTTAAAAAATAGCTCATGCTTAACAATGCTTCTGTTTTCCAGGAAGCTGACCTTCACTGTAAGTCGTGGTATGCTGGTGCCTGTGATCGAAAGTCAGCTGAAGAGGCATTACACAGATCAAACAAGGTTTGGCTGTCTTTAAATTTCATTTTGTGCTCTCAGCCTGTAATAAGCACAGCTGTCATCCTGAGAATTGCTAAGTAAGCAACTATAACAATTATGGATGAAGGGATTCTTTTCCTTTATTTACTAGGAAGGAACCATCATCCTCCCTTGCTCTCTTTCGAGCATCCGCTCTTTGTTTCTCTGTCTCCTTTCTACTTGTCCTTTCACTTCAAGGCCCCATTGCTCTCCGAATAGGGGAAGGCTCTGGAAAGCTTGGTGCTACATAAGCTCCATTCAGAAATGAGCAGTGGCAGGCTATTTTAGGTCTATTTGTGGGAATAAAGATTTAGGTCAAAATGGCAAAATAAAAAGAAAACTGGAAGTAACTTTCTGAGAGCCCAACTCCAATCATGCAGAAACACTATGGACAGAATTCAGACAATCCAAGATGAAAGTGTCACTGTTCTTTTTCTTCCTCTCTTCTCTCATTTTTATTTATTTTTTATAATTGCACCTCAGTCAGAATATATGACATTTACATACTGTTTGTGCCTACTTTTCTTTTAGTTCTAACTCCACAGTTAAACATATTATTGGTGTCCATCAGTCCTTTGGCTGGCTTTTCTAGTTGTTTCTTGTTTGATGAAATGTACTTCTTGGGGATTCTCAGAAAGAACTATGTTTACGTTATTGCTTGAGGTCTGGCATATTTGAAACTATTTTGTTCATAGCCTGCTATTTGGAGGAAATGTTAGCTGAATAGAAAGTCCTTAGCTTGAGCTTTTAGAAATTGAGCTGCTGCATTGCTTTGCTCTGTGTAAGGCTCTTGAAAAGCCTGGTGCTAATGTTACTTTCTTGCCCTTGCATATAATTCGATACTTTAGTCTGAAGGCACTGCAGATGTTGTTGTTGTCGTTGTTTTCAAAGTATAATTTTGTTACCAGAATAAGTCTCTGAGATTGTTCCAGGTTGATTTCTTCAGGTAGCAGAAGCCCTTTCAATACATAGATGTAAGTTTTCTCCTACATCCAATAATTTTTCTTAAATTATAGTCTTAAGGGATAGTTCTAGTCCATAGTTTTCTTTTTTCCTTCTAAGACTCATATTACATGTGTTGTAGATCTTGTTTGTCATGCTTTCATCTCGCAAACTCTATTGTACTTCTTTTATTAACTCTCATTTTTTAAACTGTCTTGGTTGTTTCCACACCTTCTTTTAGTGTTATGTACTCAGTATTAACTCTATCTGAGGCTGAGTTAGTCCTTGAGAATCTTATTTATTCCTGGGACAGGTTTATCTTCTTCAGTTCCTTTCTTGAGTCTGATCAACTCTGGTTGCGTTTCTTCTTCTTGCTTGATGTCCATTTTATCATAACTTTTGAACTTATAATTCTAGAAAACTTCTATAAAATATGTAATAAAAATTGGAGTATTAGGTTATAGAGTGTTTTGGTCTTTAATGTAAGTTCTTTGGAAAGAGAATTGTTGCCAACTAAAACTTTTAATTATCGACTTCTATTTTCTTTTCACAATACTTTTGAATGGAATTTACTTAACAGTTATTTTGTTCACAGGTAACATGTGAACATGGTTCCTAGTCTGGGATTTTTCTCTCTAGGTCTTTTTTTTTTTTTGGTTTTTCTCTGGTACCGGGAACCGAACTCACGACCTTGCGCTTGCCAGGCAGGCGCTTTGCCCCTGAGCTAAATCCCCAGCCTCCTCTCTCTAGGTCTTATCTTACCATGTGGCCCATTGTACATTTCTAAATCCTATAAAAATAGTACTTTAGTTAACACATTAAAAAGCTAACAATGACCTCACTCAGAATGTTTTATGATCTATAAATTTTCTATATTCTACTCAACTATTTTCCTAGAAAATAATAAAACAAACTTTAATCAATAATAAAAAAACTGTAGCTAGGTAATATAGATATTCATAAATTGAATTTCTAGCCTATAGAAATATAAGCAATACTAACTATAATTATGCTTTTCCTTTGTTGAACAGGATGGATCATTTCTTATTAGAAAAAGCTCTGGCCATGATTCCAAACAGCCATATACACTAGTTGTATTCTTTAATAAGCGAGTATATAATATTCCTGTGCGATTTATTGAAGCAACAAAACAATATGCTTTGGGCAGAAAGAAAAATGGTGAAGAGGTCAGTAATTTCTCTTTTAATTTAGCTCTGTAATTATGCACTGAGCACAATGACATCATATTGGAGATGAAGAAAAGGGATATAAGAATACTTGGTCCTAGGCTTGCATGTACTTCTTAAATAAAGTACAAGATAAAATACTATACTGAGAAAAAAATACTATACTGGGGTACTATATCCTAGAGAAACAGAAAAGAAATAAAAGGATGATATGATATATATCTCCTGATCCTTGCATTCAATTACTTAATGAGGTCAAACTGGCATAAGATATTAGTCCAGGAGGCATATAAATTAAGGCTGAAATACTAAAGTTTTAAAAATCAAGGTCACAGTTTAGAGTGCCAGAGACCTAAAATCCCAACACAGGTGCTAAGTTAGGAGAATAGAAAAGAAGCCAGCACAGATGCAGAAAACTTACTTGATAAATTAGATAATAGCTTTTGGACCAGAATGAGTTTATAGCCCTGTGGCATGAAAACAAAAATCACATTGGTCTTAAAGTATCAGCCAAACATTAACTTCAATGTCTCTTTAATCTGGATCAATATCAAAGTTCAGCATATCTCAGTTTAGCTACCCTGTTCTTATAAATGAGCCTTGAAATATGAACTGTTATAATCCATGAATGGTTCAGAAAAAGTGATACTTGTTCTGGTCCAAATGATGGGTTGAATTTGGGTCAGTAGAATGAAAGTTAGAGGGAAAAATAAGTGCAAAATATAATCTAAGCAGAGAAAATAGCATAAAGTTCAAAGTAAGAACTACTTCACAGGGAATGGTGGTGCAGGCCGATAAGCCAAGCTATGCAAGAGGCTGAGGCAGAAAGAACACAAGTTTCACCCAACATGGGCAATTTAGTAACTTAGCAAAACCTGTCACAAAATAAAAATAAAATAAAAAGGTCTGAGAATGTAGCTCAGTGTAAAGTCTCTTGATTCAGTCCTCAGTACTACAGAAATAAAAACAATAATACACTTCTTTTCAAGATTTTTTCAGAAGGAACCACAGCTATTGTCAGAAAGAATGCTTATTAGACAGCGTTATAGTTGGTGAAGTGTCAGTCTTCTACACTGGGTGAAGGCAGCCACTATGTCTTGTTCATCTTTGTTCATCTTTTGAGAATGCTGAACATCTAAATGGAAAATGAAAATTCTGGTTATATGATACCAATTATGTCTATTTTCAAGCATCTGAATTTTAAAAAAATTATTTAATTATTTCATTAGTACATATTAGTATATAATGTTTATATTACTTATTGACATACATATATAACACATCTTAATTTCTTTTTTCAGCCCCTTCCCCTCCCTGCCTCCATCTCTTCATCTTCTTTTTTGAGAAAGATCTATCTCTCTGTTTCCTGTTATCTTTTATTTTGCTCTTTATTCATATTTTGGGTTCCTCATACAGAAGAAACACACAATATTTAAAACTGTATGTCTGATTTATTTCACTTAACATTATGGTCTCAAGGTGCATCTATTTTCCTACAAAGATACAAGTTTATCTTTCTTTACACCACAGTAGCATTTCAAAAGGAACACTTCTTTTTTATTTATGGGAATATAAACTAGTACAGCCACTAAGGAAATCAGTATGGAGATTCCTCAAAAAACTGAAAATAGAAATTCCATTTGACCCAGCTATTCTCCTTCCAAGTATCTTCCCCTCAAAATTAAAGACATCATATTATTGCATACTTGTGTTTATAATAGTTAAATCTTGGAAGTAGCTTATGTGTTACATTTTAAAAGTCTATGTTGTACCTGTCTTTGTGTATATATGTTACTAAAGTAAGCAGCTGATTCACTGGGTACCTTTTCATGCAGTTATTTTGGCATTGCATGATATACTATGGAGTAATTCTATAGCTAGGACAACTGCTGCTTTATTGTATTGGCCATCAGATTTGAGTTATCAACATTGATTTTTTGAGCATATATAATATCTAAAATACACTGAATTAATGTGAACAGAAAAAAAGAGCCAGAACTGAGGAGAAGCTGCAATTAACTATGCCTGATTCATCTTTGTATTAAATTACAAATATGCTTTAATTCCTCTCCCTGCTTCAAATGGTTCAAGTCCCTCCTAAAAATACTTCAATCCCCAAATACTACAACAAAGCAATATTCAAAAAACATTCAGGATTAGATGGATGTAAGAGTTGGATATTAGTGTAAGTGCAGCAATTCTCTTCTATGCTTCCTGGATTCAAAACACATTTTTTTCACTTGGAATCCACTTCAGAGAAGTGCTATTTCAGTTTCTGGCCCTTCACTCTATAAATTTAATTTCCAACTGCATTTGGTTAAATAACATGCTGTATACCAAAGAAACAGAATAAAAGTATTATGGGATTTGTCATATGAGAATTGCATTGGCAATTCACCTGGGGCTGAATTACCAAAGAAAAAATAAGGAATAAAATAGTATTTGAAGGTTCCTGTCTCTTTCCTCTTCTCCCTTCCCTAATAGTCATGTAGCCAGGTATCTAAAAGATGACAGGTATTTCATTTGAAAAACATGGCTAACTGTATGAATATTTTACTTTATTGAATATAGAGATTTTTGCAAGGCTTTGAAAGAGTTAATTAAGGTTTTTTATATTTTTTATTTCAGATGTTTGCCTTTATCTGAAAAACTAAAAGAGACAATAAAATAAATTGATACTAATTACTAAATGAATTCATTGCACAGTTATGAAACAATTACTGCTTTTAAAAATGATTCTAAATGCATTTAGTTGATGACTGTCAACCTGTAGTATTTTTATATACTCAGTGCATTTAATTTCATAGTCTGTATTACACTTATTAATCTTTCATTTGAAACCTTGATCACTTTTCAGAACAAAATTTGTTACATCCTTAAATTAAATCCCATAGATGAGGGATTAAAATATGGAAAAATAAATATGTATGGTGAGAATCTAGCATAAAATTTCATTATTAATTAGGTGACAAGTTAGTTCTAAGCTTACCAGTAATCAACTATAGTTAGATATAAAAAAAAGAAAATAAAAACAAAACACAAGCTTATCTAAAAAATAACTTTTCCCATGGTACTAAATTCTGAGATTAATTTATTACATCAATCTTTGTATTTTAATCAGCTTCTCTTATTATTACAAAGTAGCTGAACTAATCAGTCTATAAACAGAAAAGGTTTATTTTGGCTTACAGTTTTAGGGGTTTCAGTCCATTGCAGATTGGCCCACTTTTGGGGGCACGTGATGAGGCAGCACATCATGGCAAGACTGCATGGTAAAGTAAAACTGCTCAACTCATTGCTAGAAAGCAAAAAGGAAAGAGGAAGGGAACACGGTCCCACAATCCCTTTTGAAGGCAGGCCTCCAATGAATGGAAGACCTCCTGCCAGGCCCTATCTCTTAAAGATCTCCACTTCCCCATAGCACCACCCTGGTAAACAACCCTTCAATATGCAGGCGTTTGGTAGACATTTGAGATTCAAACTAAAGCACCTTGTTTCTAAATTTGTGTTTCTGTAAAGAATGTAGAGAATACCATATGATAGTTTCACATTTGACTCAAAATAAATAGCAAAATATTTAAGTATTACAGTACAACTCCATGAAGTAATTTCTTCAAGCAATTAAGATAATAGAGCCTTTCAATGTGTTTTGAGTTTTACTAAATATATGAAGGTCCAGAGTATGCCACTCTGAAGGTTATGGCCTTTGTAAAACTAGAATTTTTGAGGCAGAATGTCATTGGGAACCCAGTAATTTACTTACTTGAGAAAGTAAACAATGTAAAGTGTGGAGCATGAAGTTAACATAAATATCAATGTCTAATTCATCTATGTTTTCTTTCTCTAGTATTTTGGAAGTGTTGCTGAAATCATCAAGAATCATCAACACAGTCCCTTAGTTCTTATTGACAGTCAGAATAACACAAAAGACTCCACAAGACTGAAATATGCAGTTAATGTTTCATAAAAGAAAAACAATGTCACTATGATTGCTTCAGACATTTTCTCTGAGTCTCCCCTCTTGAGAAAAGTTCCCAAACTCCTTATTTTGGATTATGAATCATCACTAATGAAATAGAACAAGGAGGCAACTGTTAAGGTGTCATCCATTCCTTTATAAGTTTCCCACATGAACTTTATTTGTTGTTTGACCTGACAAACTGATATCTGGGAAAGTTGAATTCTCATGATACTAATATTCTCCAAATAAATGTATTGAAAAGAAACTGGTGTAAAATACATTCATCATGTAAGAAAATAATAAGAATCATACTCTTGTATAAAACAAATCTACTGGAAATTTAGTCCTCCACAATGGTCACTGGTACATGAATGTAGCTGGGCTGTCTATTGTCAATACTTGACAATTATGTCCTTGTTAAATGTGTAGAAAATAAAATATTGTACGTAATACATGGTATTTGTAAGTATAGATTGGGGGTATAATAAGTGTGTGTGTGTGCGTGTGTGTGTGCATGTGCACGTGCACGCATGTGCAACCATGGGAAGTGTAGATAGAAATGAACTTCCTAAAAGTTCTCCAGGATTTTATTGTTAGATTTATTAAGGATAATTACAGCCTTTCTGATATGTATGTGTGTTAAATAGGGCCTAAACTTGATAAGAGCTTCAAAGTGTGACGAGAAAAAAACTAGATGTCAGAGCCAATTCCCACAGAACAAGAGCAGAAAGATAGGTATCGGTGAACACTAAAAAATAAAAATATACCATGGTGAATAGCCATGTCCAAGGTCTCACATCAACCTAGAAGTGTTTAATGCTTTGTGGTGTCAAAGATTTTCTTCCTACTGATTTCAACACTGGAATGATAAGCTA